TAAAAATCGATTAAACAAAAGCGAATGAAGGCAACTAAATGGCGATTAAACTAGGCGATTGAAAGCAAAGAACAAGCAAATGAAAAGCAAACTAAATTAAAGGTTGTAAGCAATGAAAGACAAACGTTGGGGGCTCAAGGGGTTTCGCAGGGGTTCATGGTCTATGCTAGGTCGATTTTAAACAAGTGATAAAGGTAATCAACTACGTATGGTCTAGAACTCAAGGCACAGAAGTATGAATAGCCTACTTTCGCAGCACTAAACAACTATCTCTCGCAACCCTAATCAGTAGGTTTCCATTCTGATTCTGGAAGGGAGAAGATGCAATAGCAGGACAAGACTCATCAACATTCACAACTCAATTACAGGTAGGTTTCCACTCCAATAGAAGAATTGCTCGTTTCACCCTAGTTCAGACAATCAATGAAAACTTTCGCAACATATCATATCAGATCGGCTTCTAAGTGGCCAGCAGAGAATCACGCAGTAAGATTAAAGGCAAACAAAGAACATCTAGAAGATTATAAATCCTAAATCTATCGATTCATAAGCAAAGACACATGAAATTCCCTTTGAAAAATCCCTTTAAACCCAACTGGGTAACTACTCAAACATATTGTAAACAATCATCACAGAGTATTGAAAGTTGCAGGAAATTAAAGAAAAGAAGGAAGAAAAACGAAGAACAGAGTTGCAGGTGGAGGCGCGATGATGCTCTCCAGCGGCGGCTCCTTCTTCGGGATCGACGGCGGCGGCCTCCTCTATAGGGTTCCACGAAATCTCTCTCTCTTTCTATCTTATGTCCTCTCCACACCTTTAGGAATGACCTAAAGGGGGTATTTATAGCTTCTAGGGTGGTTCTGGACAGTTAGGGCTTCCAAAATAACGAAAGGAATTGATCTGGGCTTTAATTAAGTCGTCGGGAAAGTGAACGACCAAAGTCCGCGGTCGCGGTGGCTCTACCCGCGGGAAAATGGGTGTTGGCCGCGGTCCCGGCACATGCTCTCTTCCGGAACTGCATTTTCTGTCATTCTTGCATCGTGAGTATCTGAAGATCTAACCATTGGATTGTCTCCAAACCAAGTGCATTAGGAAGCTAGTTGGATCCTCTATGTTTTCTCAAATTTTGGGGGTGATCAGGCGGTGAGAAGGTCTTCATCGCTTGTCATACTTCTGACGGTCTGCATTTATCCAAAATTGCTCATTTGTTCCAAATTGCATATCTTTTTCCCAAGTTTCCTATAAAGTCTTTTGAAACTCTAAAACATTGAAAACACTTTAAAAACCTTTGAAAACAGAGTTAAAACACCTGCATAAATACAATTATGATCCATAAAAGTGGTCAAAATACGGTGTTATCACTTCTCAGAGGTTCTTCTAGTTTTGCTCCGATTTCGACGCATCGTTCTGGACGCGCTTCGTCTATGCACACCGAGTCCACCGCATCACATACCGGCTCGGCGCGCGTTTCGCGGCTCTCCATGATCTGTAATTGCTATAAGAGTTTCGAGAGCTCGTTCGCAGGCTCTCGATCCGTCTTCATCTTTTTGCGATCTATGTCTGCTTGTGCGTCGGTGACGGGGTTCCTCAGCTTGTGCTCCGCTAAGCAGCACATTCGCGACTCCTTCTGATTTTCCCAGATTGTTTTTATGCCTGCTGGAGTCAGGAATTTGAGGCAGAGGTGATAGATGGAAGGGACCGCCCTCATCGCGTTGATCCATGGACTTCCCATAATCACATTGTAGATTGTTGGGTGATCGGTGACGCAGAATTCGACGATCCTAGTGACTCCACCAGCTACTACAGGGAGCCTAATTGTTCCCATAGTTAACGTTGTTTCTCCTGAAAATCCGGTTAGAGGTTTGGGGATTGCCGTCACCTCGGAGAGATCGATTCCCATCCTTCTGAGTGTCTCCCTGAAAATGACGTCTACCGAGCTTCCAGTATCGATGAGCACCCTCGCTACATCGTGATCCCTGATCGTCAATTCGATCACCAGTGGGTCGTTGTGTGGTCTATCGATCGGGATATCGGGATATCGGTCGGTTCTGTCCAATTTTCCTTCGCTTCGGCTCGGCGCTGATAAGCTTTGATGGAGGACACCGTGTCTTGGTAATATTGAGATCCACCCATAATCATGTTGATCCTTTGCCTGGGCTCGGATCGCTCTTCAAGTTCGCCTCTCCTGTCGCGCCTGGTGTTATCGCCCGTCGGGGGGGATTTGCGGGTTCATTAGGGACGAGGTTTTTGAGGTTAACCGCGTTCTGGAGCTCTCCTGCCGCCATCTTAGCTGCGATTTTTTCTCCTAGAGTTCGTCATTGTGCCGTTGAATGCCCGTGGGTCTGGTGATACTCGCAGAATGCCTTTTCGTCGTAGTTAGTGGGCTTTCTTACCCAAGTGTTGTTGTGCGGCTCTCCTCTTCCGCGTTCAGTGCCTACTTGGTAGTTATGAGCACCTCCGCTTCTAGGTTCGTTCGAGCTCTGCGTTGTTGCGTTGTTTGACGGATTGCCTTTCTCTGAGGGGCGCGTCAAAATTGAGCTTCGGATCGCTGCTTTCGTTGCTTCGTACTGCTCGTCCAGATTCTTCATCTCTTCCTCGTTTACGACGAAGTCTAATGACCGATGCAAGGCATCCTGAATCGTTTGTGGCATGTTGAGTGCCATTTCCCATCGAAATTCGGATTTGTACCACAAAGACCGTTTCAGAGCTTCGAGTGCAGCCTTGTCGCTTATTCCTTCTATTTTGGATACGACCGCCTTGAACCTTGCCATGTAATCCCGAAGCGCTTCGTTCGGTCTTTGGGATAGCGTCCACAGGTCGGCATCAGAAGTTCCTCTATCCATAAACATCGAGTATTGTTTAAGGAACAAGGCGGAGAGCTGTTGGAATCTGCCGATTGAATTGCGCTCCTGCCTCGAAAACCACTCGAGCGCGGCTCCCTTGAGATGTTCCACGAAGAGCAAGCAATATCCGGCATCTACTTCCTGCTCGGTTAGTTTGGCAGCGTTCTTTGTGAAAGCTCGTCCCATTGCTATCTGAAACGCTGTGATGTGTGCTTTGGGATCGGTTGTTCCTTCGTAGAACGGGATTCTCACCTTCCCGGGCTCGGGAATCTTAGCCTCTGTGATTCTCGCTTTGAATGGTGTTCTCTGGGTTTCTTCAAGCATCCGATCGATCTCGAGCGCAGCACTCGTCGCGTTATGCACTTGAGACTTCATGGCGCGTATCTCGGCTACTGTCCGAGCCATCGAGGCTCGCAGCTCTTTGATTTCGAGGGTTTGCGCGTGAGTCATTCCCTTTGATTGTGGGAGTCGCTCCCGCTATTCTCTCCTCGGCTCGTCTTCGCGTTCCGCCTGCTCGATCCATTGGAGGTTTTCTTCTTCTTCAGTCGGGTTGTCGCCGCGAGCCGGATCGGTGATTTCGTCAGTCCGGACGCCGTTTAGTGCTGAGGCGAGCTCTTCTTGGCTTATTCGCCGAGCCGAGCCGTTTTGTTGCGAGTTCGTGGTTTCATCGTTCTGTAGGGTGTCCACGTCGATCGCGTCATTCTCCTCTTCGCCGGCTCGTCGCCTTGAGTTCCGATGGAGTGGAGGCGGCTCGGTCATGTTGACTCGGGTTGCCGCGGGAGTCTGTCCGCCGAGGGGACGAAACATTGGTGGAGCCAAGGGGTTTCTTGCGCCGCTCCCCGAGGCCTCTGCAGGCGTTGAGAAATTGAAGCGTCTCCGGATTCCATCCATCGGGTCGGAGATTCCGGCTCTCCAAGTTGGTTGTCGTCGCTCGGCCGTCATCGCGTCGAGCCTCTCTGTAATCGCCTCATTTCTTTTGTCCTGCTCGTCGATCTTCTTCATCAACGCAGCCATCATGTTTCGCATCTCCTCTTGGGTTTCGGGCGTTGCTGTCGTTGTGCCTGATGCTGGAGCGTCCTTCTCCGTGCCGTTTTCGTTGTTGTTGTTGTTGTTGTTATCGTCGAGGGTGTTGCTCGCCATGTTCTTCGGATCTTAAAGTATTGTCGATTTAGAGTAAGAAAGTTTCGACTCCCCACAGACAGCACCAAATTGTGTGAGCCAAAACTCGTACTACCAAAAATTTGTAAGGAAAAACTAAGGGATCCGAAATTTCTAGGGTAATCGCAAGAACAGTAAGATCGAAAGAGGGTTTTTATTGCTGTGAAAGTGTTTAGGTCTTGTTGCTTAGGGTTGCCCCAGTTCCAGAATGGATTGCATACATTGTCTATTTATACTAACTTTCTAAACCGCCTAGCCGAGAATCTCTGGAGAGATTTTAGGAACATTTCCTTATCGCTTCATGCGGCCACCGCCTCAAGACATCGCCTAGGGTTTTTATGGGCTTTCTTCCTTCAAGACTTCGGTTCGGCCCATCTCGGAAGGATCAGTTCGGCCCATCTCGGAAGGATCAGTTCGGCCCATTTGCGAAAGGTAACGGCTCGGTCCATTCTCTTTCTTGCACAGCTCGGCCCATCTTCTCTCATGCGCGGCTCACCTATCGCCTCCTCACGGCTCAACCCATCTGCATCATTGGGTACAGCTCGGCCTCCTCCTCTTATGTGGGAGTTCGGCCCTTACCATCGGCTCTCCCGATAGTTAAATTTTATTCTTGACATGGTTTTGACCGGTTGGGATGAAACCGACCCCAACAAAATTGTCTGAACATGTAAGCACAGAACAGTCCTTGCTCTCCTCTCTATTTGCTTCTAATATGTCTCCGACCTTGTTTGGAAAAGGCAATATATACGCCTTAGATTTCTTCAATCTGCGTGCTATACGTTACATAGCCCGTCTCCTAATTACCTCCAACATGTTTATCAGAGACAGTTCTCTAGCTCCTTTAATGATCCTGTTAAAGTTCTCTGACAAACTGCTGCATACATTAGAAGACCTTTCATTTCCAGTGAAAAAAGTAAAGCACCAAGTCTTTGGCTCCGTAGCTAACAAATCATCGTGTGCCTCTGCATCGTATGCTCTGAGCTCATCCATATGAAGTTGCTACTCTCCCACTATTTTGCTGTATGCCACATTCCAGAAAAATGGCTTGTAATCAACATTGCCATATTTCTTTTTCCAGTTCCTGTAAACATGTTTTGCACAATTTCTATGCTCAGCATTTGAAAAAACAGTAGCAAGAGCTACTTTTAGACGCTGCATAAGACGTACAAAATTCATTAGTATTTATCATAAGCATTGATGAAGAGTGCCTTTTGCCTATCAGATATGAATGTAACTCCATCTCCTACACCCAAATCTAAATCAGCCTTCAACTTCTTAATGAACCATTCCCAAGAATCCTTGTTCTCCCCTCTAACGACTGCCCAAGCTATAGGATAAATCCTATTTTCTACATCCCTACCAACAGCAGCTAGTATCTCTCCCTTCAACTCCCATTTTAAGAAAGCACTATCAAGCCCTATCAAAGGTCTGCAATATTTCTTCCAACTTCTTCTCAGCTATTCAAAACATAAATAAAATCTCTCGAACACCTGTTTTCCATCCTTTTTAATGGTTACAATCTCGGTCCTAACTCCCTCATTAGACCTAAAAACTCAGCTTCATAGTCCCACAACTTAGTAAACTGTTCTTTCTGAGTCTCCAAAACCATATCCAATGCAATTCTCCTTGCTTTTCGGCACTTGAAGATTGAAACTGAGATCTTGTACCTGTGCATTAGCTCATCCTTAATATCAGAACTCCTTATCTCTGGTCGTCGCCTTGCTTCCTCTTTGAAAAGCCTTGCAATAGTACCTTGTTTCAGCATCCTAGCTCTTCCCGTAGGCAAATGACAGTGTTTTTTTTCATATACTTTGACCATCCATTTCCGTATTGGCTTCTCCACCGAACAGTAGATCCTCCATTTGCATTTCTCATGTGTGCATATCGCTGCATACCTTTTAGAGTTCCACTTACTCAACTTCACATCATATTGAGTTTTCAAAACATACCTCAATAGTTGATCCTTGAACTCATCTCCATTGTTAAAAGTTTGCATTAACCATAATCAGCCTTACTCTTTCCTTTGAACCTCCTTCCACGGTCATCTGTCTTCTTCCAATTAGCCCATTCTTCATCAGTGTCTTCTGGAGAATCTGGGTATCCACCATCTTTCTTTGGTCTCTCACCTTCAATGTCACTATCCACACCTTCGTCATCTGCAATAGGATGAGTAGTCTCACCATGAAATACAGGAGAAGGCTCTTGTTCGAGTAATGCCAACATATTGTCAAACCGTGGGTCATCATCTCCTTCACCTAATATCTGATTGTCATCCTCAGGTGGCACTCCACACTCTTCTTCTCTGTTAACCACTAAAGCACCTTCTTCATGTCTCTCTTCTTCCTCATTTTCTTGCTCACTGTTTAACATCACTCTTGTCACTCTCTTGTTCTCTATCCTCCTCGTCACTCTCTTGTTCTCTACCCTCTTCATCACTACTGTTTTTATCATCACCATTCTCACCATCATCATCTTCCGCTCTAGTCTCAACACCTACAGATGGTGGAATCTCACTATGCTCAATGTAGATGTGAACCTCTCTACAATCCTTCTCCTCTAATGCCATCTTCATAAGCTCACGATCCTTATCCTCAAATACATATCTAACCATCGACATATTCTCAGTAGGAAGTCTATACCACAATCTCACCACATCGTTCGCAACTTCCCGATTTCTACTAAAATCTTCGAAAATAGAAAAGGTGAGTAAATCAGAGTCTACCACCATAGGAGCCGTCAATCCTCCTTTATAACATAACTTGTTCCGCACCTTCGACATTGAACCTACATAGTCAATGTGGAGCTTCACATTATCATCTCCGCTGCACAAACACAACACTCTTCGATGTTAGCAATATTCATCAAACACACCCACGAAATTGAAGTACTGACTCGATTTAGGGTTTAGATGTACCTCATATTTCTTGCTTTGCCTTCAATTCGATCTCGCGAACGCGATTTATAGTTCATCTGGGCAATCAAAATTTTAGGGTTTCAACCCAGAATTGGGGATTTTTTCTTTTCTTGGGGTTTTGATCGAGCATTGATCGGGTTAAACAAATATATCAGGTTTATGATACTGGTCTGGATACGGGTTTGGATAGTCCAACTAAAGCTTAACCACTATGGGTTACTGTAGTTAGTCTGTTAATGGGATTAGAACGGTGTTTGAATTTCCGTTTACAGTCGTTTCGTATACGGTGTAAAAGAAGTATACGGTTAACATATGATGATTTAAAATAGGAAAAAAATAACTTAAGGTTTTTTCCTGGGCATACAAAAAGTTGAGGATTTAAAAAGCTGATCAAAATTAACTTGATGATTTAATATGGAATTTTCCCTACATTATAAGTTAAAGTTACATAAACATAATAACAAAAATACACAAACTAAATTATAAATGATTATATAACACCATATTATTCAACAAAAAATTTCCATAATGTTTCCAAATATAATCAATCAATGCATTCTGAAGTGATAAATGAGTCTTTTATTTTTTTAATCTGTAAATTACGAGATAAAAACTGGTGTAATATTATTGTTGTGTATAATTTGGTTTTTATATTATGTAATATTTCTTTGATATTGGTATTTTAATTTCAGTTTTTCATTTAATTTTATATAAAAACATAAAATTTATAAAGATATATATAAAATATTCATGAAATATAATTTTTTTTGAATTTAAATGATAAATATAATAAATAAAATGTATAAGAGCTAAAATATAAATAGAAAACTGCAAACCTCAAATCTGAGGTTTTGAGTAGTGAAACCTCAAAATTTGATGTTTTAAAGTTGCTTTTAGAATAAACAAAATCTTATATTTAAAAATTTGAGGTTGTTTTTGAAGATGTCTTTATTTTACCATACTCTCGGTTGTAAGGGCACTTCTTCTTTGACCAAGCCACACCAATATTACAGTTTGTTCCATCCACTTATGGGTGCTTCCCATGTATTTTATTACTCTTGAGTCCACATGAGAATTTCTGAATCATTCTCGCCAACTCTTGAAAACAAAATCATTGATACACATATTCAGTAAAGTTTGTAACAATTTATGGAGCTGTAAAAGTTATCCCTTCTTTCATTCAAAAAAAAAAAAAGGTTTTCCCTTCAAAGCCTCTAAATCCTTATATTACTACTAAAGCATAAGTCACATGGCCAATCAAATCTTGTCACATGGCTTGAGATAAAAAAAAAAACGGGATAATGCAAAAAAAAAAAAAAAAAAACATGAACCGTGAACGGTTTCTAGAAACAGCCACGACCCACGATCTCTCTTCTTCTACTGGTAAAAGACCCACGATCCTTCTTCTTCGTCCACGATTCTCTCTTTCCCATATTCTTTTATTTTAAAAAACAGCAGAAAAATACTCAGTCAATGAAAAACAGCATATGAAAGTTTTATACTCCTTCTTCTTCGATTTCAAAACCCTGATTCAGAATTGAGGCCGTATCGAATGTCATGAGCCTGAGCTGAGTTCGATTCAGGGGTAAACGGATCTCAGCAACCTATTTTTGCCAGTAACGCTCTCTGTCTCCCCTCTATACAGTTTCGTCGTCTTCGGCCATCAGATTGCTTCATCGAAACCGGTTATGCGCAAGGAAGGTTTGAGAAATAGTGGATTTGGTACATAAATTGAAAACTGTAGAGAGGTTTGCATTTTTTTCATCTGTAATTTTAATGTTTTAGATTTTTGGTAAGAAAAACTGGTTTATGCACAGTTGCAGGGGCAAGTGGAACATGAAAGGTTGAAGATGCGGTGCTGCAATTGGGAACGATGATTAAATTGTAAGACAAAATTAAGAGAGGTATATATTAGCTACATATTTGCATCAATTGTTTCAGTTTCGGTAAATTGGTCCACAATTTCTGTAGTAAAGATCACATATTCTCAAACTATTATGTAAGATAATTTTGATTACTTAATTATTTTTCCATTGATACTAATTTTTAATTTTTGATTTGCTTTCATAAAATGATATTTCTGTGTTACATGCTGACTTTAACTTTTTTATTTTTTTTAATTGGATTTGTAAGATTGTTTGCAGATAGAGACATACTAAAAGAATTACCGGAAAACAAAAACAGAAAAGTGTCAAACGTACAACCACGGAACCACCAGTCAAGAGAACAAGTCAATAGGCAATTGGCTTCAAACCAATATTTGTCTCATACCAGTTTAGTTTTCATATGTTTATGGTTAATCCATGGTGACTATACTAATGTTTTGTTATGAATTATCATTTCCTTCTTATAACTCGAATTTATGTTTTAACATTTGGTTTTATTTTTAGGAAAAAAATTTCCCGTGCATAGCACGGGAGTAAATATTAGTAACTCAGAAGTGCCATGGGAAACATTTTTTTTTCAATTTTTATAGGGATTCTCTCACTCTTCAATCAGCCAAACAAGTAATTGACTTTCACATATATTGATTCTTTATCAAAATGTTCGCTTGAAAATTGAAAATTAGATTATATTCATTTTTGTTTATCAAACCCTCACTTGCAAAGGGAAAATTAGATTGTACCCAAATGTCTCAAACCTGCCTTGCAAGGGTACATGTAAAGTAATATAATTTATTGATACTTCTCATTCCATCCGCACAACTAAAAACCCATTCAACATTTTTGACATAAAATCTTTTATTTTCAGCATTGTCAGGACGTGCCAAACTTTTTTTTTTAGTCGAGTTTAAAGATGGAAATGCATCCATGTCCGCGAAAGTATCAATCAGTTTTTTTTTTTCAAATTGCGGCCTAACCAATACTTTGATTTTACAAAGTAGTCTCCAACTTGGTTACGAACTCTAAAATATGCATTGACTTGAAATAATGTTTAATCTTCTTTGGCAACTCGTCTCTACGAGGGTTGTTTAGGAGATTTTTGGTCTTTTTAGGGTAAATCTCCTACAAAACAAGAGAAAATGTGAATGTTCGAAAAACACGATGACAGGGTGTTTTCAGATGGCTATCTGACGCTTAAGTCAGAAAACGATAAAAGAAAAGACCATGACGTGGCAAATCGGAGAAAGAAAATGAGGATCAGAAAACGGAAAGGAAAGCGGGCCGATAGTTCTTAGAAAGGGCTGAGTCTACTTGGGCTTGAGTTTAGTGGACTCTTCGAGGTTCGAGGTGGAAGAGAGAAGAAATGTAAAAGTTTGTAGGTAGAAATACTCTACGGTTTCATAACCGCTGTGGAGATAGAAGTTAGAAAATGGTCGGACTAATGACCGAAAAATGAGAGTGCTAGGCCTTGTGAGTTATGAATATCTAGAGAGATAATATAAGCTCAAAGTATCGAAAAGATTCAATCCCTTTCTTGTTGGAAAATTTTAAGTATTTATAGAATTTTACCTGACCTGGATTAGTATACTGGGTTGGACCTTGGGTTGTTGGTTTTGCGGATTGGTCTGGGATCCAACACGATTGGCTGAATCTTGCTGCTTGAATCACGCTTCTGACGGTCTCACCAATTTTCATTGGCGTTTTCTGCTAACTGTCAGGGTAACCCTTAGCACGTTCCTTTCATTCTCAGCGTAAGGGTAGGGTTCGGCGATTCAGATGCGGTATGACCTTTACTGATTTTTTTGTCTTTCTCTGCCTTACACGAATAGTCACTATCACCTAATACGTGTAAGCATAAGCATTAAATACTGATCTCGTGAGTTTACAAAGGTATGAGCAATGAAATCAGTCAAACTCATATTTCATCTATCGAATGGAAGGAAATTTGAATAGTGTTTCCTGTTTAAGGAGATATTTACCTGATCCGGATCTTTTGATACTAGGACTGGACTTTTGGGGTTGCCTTGTTGGTTGTTTTCTCTCTCCGGGTACCTATGTAGATTACTCTTTCTTACATTCCGACCCTGCCAGATCACTGAGCTTAGGTCTAGAATATAAGGAAGGCAACCTCTCCTCCTTATGACCACTCAGTTCCTGACTTTCTTGTTTTTGATAGCATAGTCTGCACTATCAGATACGAGGAACCCGAAAACAGGTGGCATTTCATGTTGGGTCTCCCGAATCTGATAGATTCGAGGCTCCGTGCTATATGCTTAAGTCGTATTGGATCATAAGCCCAATATGAAACCTACTTTGATTCGGGAGGCCGTACCTACAAAAAAATAATGAGCGCACAAACACATAATTTGTCCATGTGGGAAATATCGAATTTATCTTTAACAAAGATGTTTGGTTAAAATTTTTGCTTTTAAACTGTTGGTTTTAAAATTTTAAACAGTAAACTTGTTTTTTAGTTTATGTCTGTGTTCTTTAAAAAGAAAAAAAACTTAACTTTTTTTTTTTGTCGACAAAAAAAAATCCCATTAACCACTATTACTCCTATAAATAGTAATTAAAATAAACTGCTTTTATATATATATATATATAAATTTTTTTTTGGTAAAATGTTAAACTGCTTTTATATTTATAGTTGTTGTCTTGTTGAATTGGTTCTATTAAAACAGAAACACATTTAGTGCTTGCATCCAAACATTCCCAAAGTTTTTTTATAATATTTTATTTTATTTTTATATTTAATTTCCAAAAATTAGTTATTAATTTAGATATTTTTAGATTTCCTAAAATCTAGGTCATCTTTAATTTAAATTTCAAATTATTAGAAATTTAATTAAATTTAGTTACAAAAATTTGCATTCAATTTAATTTAAATTCAAAAAATTTAAAAAAATTATAATTGAATTTTATTACGAAAATTTAGATAATAATTTTAATACTTTAGAATTTCTTAAATACAGGAAAGATTTAATTTAAAATTTTAAATTTAAATAATATTTTTATAAAAATGTATAGTAAATAAATATTTTATCGTATTTTATCATAAAGTGGTCTAAAATATCAAATATTTGAGATTAATAAATATTTATATTATAAAATAATATGATCGAGCTGATTCGAGTTATATATATATATATATATATATATATATATAAGGTCTATGAGTTAATTTATTAAAACATATAAGATATTAAGATGATTTGAGACAATTAAACTAACAGATTAGTCCGTTTATATATATATATATATACATTTTTTTAATAGCAGAAATAGTAAATAAATATCTTATTATATTTTTTCTTGGTCCAAATATTCCACATTAGTAAATATTTATAGAGTTATATAATTATAATTATAGTCTTATACGAGTTAGTTTGTCAAAACATGTAAGATATTAAAAATGATTTAAAAAAACTAAACGGATGGATTAGCAAATTCATAGATATATAGATTGTTTATGTGTAAATCTAAATTCACATAATAACAAAGTTTATAATTAACATTAGATCAATGTATACTTAATTAACGTATACTCTTATTTTACTAATATACAAATTTTACTGTTTAAAATTAAAATATGATAACAATTTTTTGATTAAAAAAAATAAATAACAAAAATAAAATTATATCTAAACAAAAAAGATAAATACAACTTATATTAGAAATAAAAAATAAAACATTCCCACGTAGACGCACGAGATTAAAATCTAGTTTAGATTTACAACACAGTTATATAATAGTAACTTCATGTTATTTACAGATCTATTATCACTTTCACGTGGATTTCTCCGTCGGGTTTGCTAGTTCAATGCCTATTTGGCTGGTTCTTAAATGTCAAGTAGTTTCCTTTGTCTAAAGCCACGTGCCGTCTCATCAGAAGCCAATAATCTCAACTCTCAAGCATATTGGTGTTTCTATTTCCCACTACGAATCACTCTCCACGTGTCCTCTAACTTATCGTATTTTCAAATTCTCGCGATTATATCGTAAATAAAAATATCTGGGTTAATTCACGAGAACCACATTGCTTGCTTTCTACCGAGATAAGTGTTAACTGCCACGTCAGAATCTGTCCTTTATCCGTGAGATATTAGTCTCACTTAACTGTGACATAAAATCCATGAAAATATTATCTGATTTCAAAATCAACGGTAGAGATTAGCCCTTGACGCTACGATCAATGCGTGAAAATATCTCGTACGCACTTATTATAGTTTAACCGTACGGGTATTGTGGATAGAGTAAGATTTTCTTAACTTAACCACGGTTATTATCTAACCTAACTATAGTTAAATAAAGCAATTTATAATAAGGAGACAAGACTCTTTCTTCTTCTGGTGCCTAAACCGAAAATGATGATCGGAGAAAATAGCCGGCCACATCCAACGATCCATATCCCTCCGTGGGATCCGATCAACGATCCAACGGCCACAATTTCATCACCATTCTCTTCCGTTAACTTTCACGACTATCCACACTCTCTCGACTCTTTCGCTTCTCTTTACCGTTACCTTCCATCCAACGAGTTCGCGAACGATTCCGACTCATCAAGCGGCGATGAGTCACTCTCACTCTCATTCGCTGACTCGTTCGCGTGCGATGAGTTTCGCATGTACGAGTTCAAAGTACGGCGATGCTCTCGAGGCCGATCTCACGACTGGACGGAGTGTCCGTTTGCGCATCCCGGAGAGAAAGCTCGGAGACGCGATCCGACGAAGTATCATTACTCAGGTACGGCTTGTCCTGAGTTTCGTAGAGGGAGTTGTAGAAGAGGTGACTCGTGTGAGTTCGCTCATGGTGTTTTCGAGTGTTGGCTACATCCCGCTCGTTATCGGACTCAGCCTTGTAAAGATGGGACGAGTTGCCGGAGAAGAATCTGTTTCTTTGCTCATACGCCGGAGCAGTTACGCTTTTTGGCGAACTCAGCAGAGCCAGATCTTGGATTATCATCGATTCGTAACCACTTTTCGAAATCAGCGACGGCTACTTCTCCTACATCGATCTTAATCTCTCCTCCGTTTTCTCCACAATCGGAATCTCCGCCGCTTTCTCCGAGCACCGGTGAACTTATTGCGTCTATGCGGAAAATGCAATTGAACGGAGGATGTTCATTGAGCTCACCGCTAGGGTTACCTCACCGGTCGAGTCTGACTCAGGGAAGGACATGGCCGCGGATAAGAGAGTTCGAGATCTGGGACAATGCATGTGAAGAAGAAGTTCCGGCGATGAAACTGGTGGAATCTGGGAAAGAACTGAGAGCGAGGATGTATGCGAGGCTCAGCAGAGAAAACTCGCTCGGGTGAGTCGACTCGGTTCTATCAACTGAGGCATTAATACGATTTGTGAATATTGATGTGTAGATAAAGTGACGCAACTACGGATGATGATGAAGAAGAAAAGCGTTTAGGAACAAAAAAATTGTAAAGCTATGGATAATGCGAGGTTAATTTTGGGATTTCTGCAAGTTTTTTTAACATGTTCGTATTTTGTTTATTTGATTTACAATCGTTTTTCTTTGTTGTTTACTAATGTTATATCTTTGTAATTACTTCTCAAATGGATTTGGATTTTTATCTTTGTTGAAGAAAAGAATATTCAAGTTGTTGCTTCGTCAATATTAATTTCGTTAGCTGAAAGTATTTTAATGGGACAGAAACACTTTGAGATAAATGGAAGAATCCCTAAATGGAAATAAAACTTGTGTTGGTAAAATAAAGAAATAAAATAGTATAAAGCGAGTCGATCTTTGTTGGCAATTGTCTCTCTTTGTCCTCAGCCACTCGAGAGTGAAAGCAATCTGTTTTTTCTAGCGGTTACGACGTAAACTGCCCCTGAAAATCAATCTAGTCCTCAAGGTTGTAGTGTGTAAACTGTCAGTTTAGCCAAGGTTGAAGTGTGTAAACTGTCAGTTTAGCCAATACAACTTTGAGTTTCCACAAGCATTTCAGCAGTTATGCGTGAGCGGTTCTGGAATTTTCTCAACCTGGAGAGCTCCATCTAGTGTGAGTTGCTTCGACAACGAAAATGTAACTGATGCTCTTTCTACTTCTGTTTAATGTTGTTTATAGTCTTGGGAAGTATTCCCTATTTCCTTTACTTATCCTTCATAGTTCCATAAAAAGAATATTTTCTTTCTCTATTATCTGGTCTTATTATTTGTTTTCTATTTGAATATTGTTATAGTTTTGATGAATGATTGAGATTGATCATTAATAAACCTTACAAAAATGAGGTTTTCTCTGCCAATAAATATATGCCTTTAATATATTACAAAAGAATTACAGAAATACAATTATAGACAAGAAGAGAGAAACCTAACTCCTATTTTAGAGATCAAGCTTTTTGTCACTCTTATTTTCTATTCAAGATACGTTCAAGAAAACTTGTCAGAAACTATGAATGTAGGTATTCTGCTAATTCGATTTTGTTATGTGATTACTTTAAATATTTAAAGAAGGGTTCATGTGAAATTATGCTTTCAAAATTCAGTATTTCTTCTATTTGATCATTCTTCTCTCCCAAAAAGAATATTAAATCAAGCAAGCAGAATATTTGTTTGGACATAACATCTATGTATGACAACTTCAACACTATAACAGAGCATTGAACCTCTGTTAGATATAGAATCGATTTCAAAACCAAACCCTTTATTAAGTAATAGCAAATGGAAAAAGAGTAAAACAACTCCCCAAAAGAGAAGGTAAGTTCTTTTTTCTCGGATAAACCGATAAAACCTTCCAAAGATCTCTCTTGCTTGGATGTCTTTCATAACCAAGTCTTCACCTCTATATATATAAGAAAACATAAAAGCAAACTATCTAAATGAAATAATAAAATAGAAATCATAAATTGATAAATAGAAATCGTAAGTAAAAAGGTAATTATCCTAATAGCAATATTTATATCATTCCCGACCCCTTGAAGAACAGCCTTGTCCCAAGGCTGGATTCTGAAGTAATATGCTATTCCACAACAATTATCTCGCCATCCACAATGACTTCGTCCTCTGCCAATACCAAAGTTCTAAGAGATCTATAGGGGCAATCATGTTGAGGAGCATATGGTTCTTGTATTAGAATCATAGTCCTCTCGTCTTCATGTGGAGGTATTCTTGATGTGAATATTGACGTTTTCCCCCTGGCTTATAGAGGTTGCTGCTTGAACAACCATTAGAAGATGATTGGGTGTGTGTTGACATTGCTGGTTTCCCACTATCAAATGCTCTTAAATATTGATTTGGAGTTCCCGAGTCTTTAAGATATGGTAGGGTTCTGGTCACAGTAGCTCCTGACCATCCTGAACCACCACTGTCTTTAGATCGTCTGAATGCCTTTTCAGGTGGGTTGCTTTTAGCCCCATAATAAAAATCCAGCACCCTTTCAATAAACTTGGCAACACTTATTGCAGTTCGCAATTCTTCGGTGTCGTTTAGGCAAAATTTGACACAAATCTCCTCTTTTAACCCAGTGAGAAAGAATCCCTGCTGAAAATGCTGATCTAAAAGACGTATTTGAGCTGCTCGGGCAAGAAATTCATTGAAAAAATCATCCATTGAACCTGTTTGATGAAGAGCTGCCAACTGTTTGAACATAGATGTTGTAACGTCTCTCCAAACTGTTCCATCAATTCTGTTTTAAGTTGTAACCATGACAGTGTTGGGATTTGTTGGCGAAGCCACTGTAACCAATGCAAAGCATCACCTTCCATGCTCATGACAGCAATCTTAACCTTCTGAACTTCAATCGTTTGATGCAAAGAGAAATATTGTTCAATACGGGCCAACCATCCAAGGGGATCATCACCATTGAAAGCTGGCATCTTGACTTGTTTCACACCACATGGATTGTCATTACAAAGAGTCCCAACAACAGCCTGTGCCTCCATAACGTGACTTTTAGCAGTGGAAGCTGCTGAGAGGTCTTGAGCGTTTGAAGTGATCATACTCTTTTGATTAGAAACCAACAATCTTTAGGTCGCTGGTTCGAGTCCGACAGGTCGAACCAATTGTTAGAGATATAATCGATTTCAAAACCAAAACCTTTAGCAAATAGACAAAGAGTAAAACAACTCCCCAAAAGAGAATGTCAGTTCTCCTTAGATAAACTGATAAATAATCCTAAAATAAGCACATACAAATGTATCTCCACATACGCATTTTAGCACTTGTAATTTTTCACTGTCAATGTTTTTGAGTTCTGAACTTATCTTTCTTTGAAGCGTTTTCTCTTGGTTTACCTTTGTGCTTTTCTACTTGGAGCTACTGGTCGTACAAGACATCTTCCTATGTTCTCCTTGCAGAAACTTGTTCTGAATATATTTCTAGGCATTTTGAGATCTCTTCACTTTATTACTTCATTCCCTAAGAAGATTTCTAGAATATTTGAGCCCAGAACTGGAATTTAGTGGAAAGAAAAAACGACTGAAAATTGGTGTTGTAACACCCCTATCCTCGGCCACCAAAAAAACCAAGAAACTCGGATATGTTAGCTCGACAGACTAACCCCCAATGGTTAATCACCTAGTTTGGGTCTATTGGTGAGCATGTAGGATCGCGAGAAAACATCCATGTCACAACAAGCAATATAAGACATTTCCGATCATGCTAAATTATACAGAACAAAAGAAAGAGGAGGAGTGAGTAATGAGATTACTCTCTGAAGATGAGTGATAACACCGTATTTTAACCACTTTTATGGATCATAATTGTATCTTATGCAGGTGTTTTAACTCTGTTTTCAATGTTTTTAAAGTGTTTTCAATGTTTTAGAGTTTCAAAAGACTTTACAGGAAACTTGGGCAAAAAATATGCAATTTGGAACAAATGAGCAATTTTGGATATATGCAGACCGTCAGAAGTATGACAAGCGATGAAGACCTTCTCACCGTCCGATGACCCCCAAAATTTGAAACAAAATAGAGGATCCAACCAGCTTTCTAATTCACTTGGTTTGGAGACAATCCAACGGTTAGATCTTCAGATACTTCCGATGCAAGAATGACAGAAAAATGCAGTTCCGGAAGAGAGCATGTGCCGGGACCGCGGCCAACACCCATTTTCCCGCGGGTAGAGCCACCGCGACCGCGGACATTGGTCGTTCACTTTCCCGACGATTTAATTAAAGCCAAGATCAATTCCTTTCGTTATTTTTGAAGCCCTAAGTGTCCAAGACCACCTCAGAAGCTATAAATACCCCCTTTAGGTCATTCTAAAGGGGAGAACCGAAACTTAGAAAACTTAGAGAGAGAGAGAGAGGGATTTCGTGTGGAACCCTAGAGAGGAGGCCGCCGCATCAGAAGAAGGAGCCGCCGCTGGAGGAAGACATCGCGCCTCCATCTGCTTCTCCGTTCTTCGTTTTTCTTCCTTCTATTCTTTAATTTCCTGCACTTTCAATACTCTGTGATGATTGTTTACAATATGTTTGAGTAGTTACCCAGTTGGGTTTAAAGGGATTTTTCAAAGGGAATTTCATGTTTTTTTGCTTATGAGTCGATAGATTTAGGATTATTAATCTTCTAGATGTTCTTCGTTTGCCTTTAATCTTACTGCGTGATTCTTTGCTGTCCACTTAGAAGCCGATCTGATATGATATGTTGCGAAGGTTTTCATTGATTGTCTGAACTAGGGTGAAACGAGCAATTCTTCTATAGGAGTGGAAACCTACCTGTAGTTGAGTTGTGAATATTGATGAGTCTTGTTCTGCTATTGCATTTTCTCCCTTCCAGGATCAAAGTGGAAACCTACTGATCAGGATTGCGAGAGATAGTTGTTTAGTGCTGCGAAAGTAGGCTATTCATACTTCCGTGCCTCGAGTTCTAGAACATACGTACTTGATTACCTTTATCATATGTTTAAAAATCGACTTAGCATAGACCAAGAACCTCTACGAATTCCCCTTGAGCCCCAATGTTTGTCTTTAATTGCTTACAACCTTAGATTTCCATTCTGCTTTTATTCGCTTGTTACTTGTTTTCATTCATAACCGATTTTTACTTGCTTGCACTTGCTTTCGTTTTTATTTGCTTTTACTTGTTTAGCTTTTTAGTTTAGATTTAGTGACAACCAAAAACCCAAAACCAAAACCAAAACCTTTTTAGTTCTAGTCTGATTTAAGCGTTGCAGTGAATTCGTACTGAAACAACTAAGTCTCTGTGGATCGATACCCTAAGTACTACAGCGCACATCTGTGTACTTGCAGACATTTAGGGGTTATAAATTTAAAACCTGAAGCTTAGTAAAACGAAAACAACAAACCCCGTTTACAAATCGCTCATCAAGTTTTTGGCGCCGTTGCCGGGGACTTTCATTTGTTTCGTTGCGAATCCCAGCTTAAATCCATTAGAACACTTGTTTACTTTTACTTTTTCTTTTGAATTTTTCAGGTTTCTCTGCAATGAGAGACCAGGAACATGTTCCCGGGACTCTTGGTGATCCACCAAATCTTGTGGATGGTAATCCAAGCGACGATGACCTGACTGATGACGAGTTTGAAGAACCAATATATGATGACAATGAGCTAATCAGATCGACAAAACGTGAAGATGATGATGAACTGATTGGAAGTTTTGATTCACTCGAAAAGTTCATGGGAGATCGAAAAGCTA